TGACTATTCTCAGTGCCTTTTTGCTGGATAATGTATTGATATTTTAGGGAGAAGTTATATGTTGATCACTTCTCTGGGAGTTAAATGGTTGAGCTTTTTTATAGCAGAGGTTTCCTTGTCCAATCCAGTTTACTTTCAGGTAGTCTATGCATTTAAATAATTTAATCAAAAGTAGTGATGAGTACAATCAAACATACCCTGTTGTAGGAAAATGTTACGCGCATTTCGTTTTGGAGAGATTTATTTTCCAGCTGGTGGTCACAGTGAGATTGGCGAGTTTGAGGCAGTCACTAGTCTTCTGTGCTACAACCCTTAAAGAATTATTGCATGGTATTGATAATGGTAATGGGCAGAGTGGATTGATATTTGGTCTTTAATCATACAAGTGATTTACAAAAGCATAGGATTCAAAATTGATGGTAGGATTTGTTAATTACATGCACAAGTACAGGGAGAATTTGACGACACATTGTAAGGAATAATTTTTTTGTTATTGTTTGTAGAAATGTGCATTCACGCTCAGCAGGAAGACATGTGATTGAAATGCTGCAGCAACATGGTACTTTATTTTCCTTTCAGAGCTTAATGCTCTCACTCCCAAGATCACAATAGCTATTCTCCTTAAAGTATGTTGTACATCTATTATAGTATCAGCTCTGAGAATGTGAAATAAGATCATGCAATTTCCCTTTGCTGATATCTAACTTTCTTCCCATCACCATTCTGATTTACATTGTATCGATATTGTTTGGAATGATCACCAAGTGGTCACTCAGGGAGTCAAAGGGTTTAAATTATAGTGTGAGATTTCTCTCATCTCTTAATTAGGAAGTTATATTTTGTAATCAAAACTAGTATATCAGTTTTTAACCAAAACATTCTTATTAACAAATATCCACACAGAATGCTTTCAACCTTTTGGATCCTATCAATATACTTGCCACATGTGAAGTTCAGTTTGAACTTGCTTGCCGATGAATTCTTAGTAATTGACAGAGTATCCACATGTGAAATCAGAACCAGTTGAGGTTCAAATTCTCATGCAAAACTTAGTTTTTTTGTCCCATAGGCACATGACAAATTATTAAACTATTCCATGTTCTAGTAAGAATAATTTTAAGGTAAAATTAAATTAAGGTACTTCTTTAAGTTCTGCCAACAAGTTTGAATCTGGCCTGTCAGATATGAGAGTGGATTCCAAAAAATATTTTGTAACATCTCAGAGTGTGATGTTTGCTTTATTGTCTCTTCACAAGGGGCCAGAAATGTCCTGCTTCATGCTTTTGATGGAAAACCTTCCAATGCCCTGAAGGGAGTTCAACAAGGCTACTACTTTTCAATTCCACCATCTATTGTTCGCTCCCCTCAGGTAAGATCAAAGCTTCAAGCTCAACTGTTGTCAAAGTTGTCATTTGCAAACTCATATAATGTCATTTGTAGTTGCCAAGAAAGACAAAGGAAAAATAAACTTTTTGCGTCGTAACATGCTGCTGACCTCACCACTTGTGTATAGAATAACCAAAATTACAGGCAATGGGTTTTGGGGTTCAACATCATAAAGCTTTACCCTTTATACCCTAACATCAGTATGCATATTCTCCATACTGTTCTCTGTATATTTCCTAAGGTGCAAAAGAGCCTTGAGGGAACATTGACAGTGTAGATGCATTTTTGAAAGTCATGATGATTTTAAACCTATACACTGAGTAATAAAATCATAACAGATTGCTGTGTGACTGCCAAGCACAGGTGGCTAAATGAGGATCTTTCTTGCAATTTTGTTTGTGTTTGTGTTTGTAGAAAGAGAAGCTTGTGAAAAATGTTCCACTTTCAAATCTTCTTCTGGAAACTGATTCCCCAGCCTTGGCAGCTGAAAAACAGGTATTAAGACTAAAGTCTGAATTCAGGAGTAAAGAAAATATGGCTGTATTGAAGCCCTTCTGCTCATTTCTGTGGCTCTACTGCCTTCTCTCTCATAAAACATACACAAAACCATTTGTCTTTTTTGACAAGGAGTACTGAAATTTGCTAGTACAATGTTTACAGTACAATACTCAGTCTACTAACAACACTTCTGTTCATATGGTACTTATGTGTCCATCAATTCGAAGCTTCAGTATCTCTCTTTACCCCCCCCCCCCCCCCCCCCCCAGGCAACACCCTGGCAATTGAACTCTTGAAGAATGGTTTGTTCAAATTAACTTTTGTGTGTAAAATGCAAAATCAGCAACCTTGACTCTCTACATAGTGACCAAACTGTGAAAGGTGCACCTTGTAGACCTTTTTTTCTGAGCCATTCGCTTGTGAAAGTGAACTACAGTCAAACCTCCCTTTGCAACCATTCATAAGGGAACACCTTTATCAAAATTCCAGAAGTTTCCAAGTTAAATCACTATAAGTGGAACTTCTTTTAAGCAACCACTTCTTGTAAGTGACTCCCTCTCATAAGCTTTTATTGAAGCTTATGTTCAAGGGAATTCTTCATGATGTACTTTGATTATTTTTTAGACAAGAAATGAACCCAAGAATATCAGAATATCCTGTGAAGCAATTGCTCAAATTAAAGGCATTCCAGTTCAGACAGTTTATGAAGAAACGACCAAGAATGCTTTGAAGTTGTTCCCCAAACTGCAGAGATTTATAAGAAAGTGACATCAAGACTACTAAGTGGATATATTAATGGATTGGATAATTCTATACAGCTAATCTTACATGTACATAACAAGAGAAATAAAACAACTGTTTTACAAGTATAATACTCACTTTGTTTAGATCGTTTGTCCTCTTGGCATCATTTCAAAGTAAATTTTGTTCAGATTAGCTTCACTTTAGCGGAAGATGATTTCCTTTCTACAATGACAACATTCTGGAAATTTTCTGGTTACCCTCCTGCCCTAACTTGCATTTGAAAGTTCAAGTTTCTAATAGTCTCAACCTCTGTAATAAGCCCCTTGACCTAAAAAAAGCCTCTCTTGTAGGCCCCTCCTCTATGTTAAACCCTCTCTCCTATGAGCCCCTATCTATTAAGCTCTTTGTTAAGATACCTGGATAAGACCCCCCCCCCTGCCCAGGAGCTTTTTGTTGGAGCATTACAATTTTTTTTTTAATGTGTTTGCCCCAAGCAATTATGACATCCATTTAAAATGTATTGAGTGGGGGATCACTAATCAGTGAGTTCGCTTCAGACAAATGACTCCCACTTAAAATGTAGAGAGTTGGTGATCACTGAATCTCTTTCAACCTTTCCCCTTGATAAAATCTTTGACGCCATGTAATGTGTCGTATTTTCCTGTAGATTGTCTACTGCACAGCTCCTCCTTAGTTGTCATTTTTGTTCAATTTTTTTTCTCTCAGAAATGTCAGTGATAAGATTATGATGCAAGTAACCTCTTAGGGAATAGTTAAAAATTAAGGACAAAAGTGTCATCCCTTTTGAAAAATCAGGTGGTTTTCCTTTCTATTCGATCAATCATACTCCCTTAACCCCCCCCCCCCCCCCCCCCCCCCCCACCTCCTTCCTCTCTCTCCCCAACCTCACTTTCCCAGGCTTTTTTGTTCATTTTGAACTCGCAAGGGGCTTGGTGAAGAGTTCTTCCTCGACGCCTTGTTGAAAATGCACCGATGCCTTCATAGATGTGGTATTACACGTGTTTTTATTGCAACATTGTGCTTGAAAAGCAGCGAAATTTTTGGAGAGATGGGCTCTTTTTCTAAATAGCATATAGAAGGATTTCTGGAATCGGCTCATCTTGCATAGTGTGTTCGGGATGACGCGTGATTCCGGTCGAAAGAAACAGGATCGTCGAAGAAGTAGCATCAAACTTCCTAAGGGCGCTTACACTTTGGATAAACGGCTTGTTCCACGAGTGAAAGAGGTAAATACAGGAAGTGAATAGCGAGTAACTTAAGGAAAATTTTGTCTCTATGCGAAGGAAGACTTTGATTTTGATTAAAACAAGAAGTGTAATTTTTCATTGTGTGTTTGTTCCTCAAATCAAAGTATCTGAACCAGTTTAGAAAAGGACACCAACCAGACATCGAAGAACTGGTGAACCATTTACAGACAAGATATAAGTAAGTGTTATTTTTGTTTTGCTTTATATTCGGGGTTTTAGGCTCTTTTAGGTGCTCAGATTTTTAGATTGTAGCCAAACCTTAGTTATTGGAACCTGAAAAATTAAACCTGATTATCTTATAATTTTCAATCTTGATGGTTTTGTCGATCGTCTCTTTCTGACAAGTAGATTTATTTTTAAAGTAACTTCTGAGCCAGAGTCAGGCCCAGATCCAAGTCAGTTGACTGAATTACAGTTATTTAACTTTCCAAATAGGAACTAATTTGCATGGTGGTTAGGATTTGTTAGCTGCAATTTGCTTTGGGTTAGCATTTATTGACTGAAGTATGGCATTCAATTTGAGGTTGGCTTTGCACTATATGCCGGTTTTTAGATATATATGTGGTCTAAAAATTATCAAATTAAGAAAGAAGTAGATCCTTGGCTCAGTCCCTATCCGAAATGTTTGACTGATATTAAAAAAACCATTTGTCTGCAATTTACATACCATGAATTGATGACTCTCTTAATTTCTTGACAGGGACTTGACAATGGCTTGGGCTTGAACTTAACTTAACCAATTTACTCAATCTTCTCCATTAATCTATTTTTTCAAGGGTTTAATTTATATTTTATAAAGGTCTCTTTTGATGACAATCAATACTTTTCAGTTACATCTCAGGTACATATGTGTGCCAAACCTAGTCAACAAAAAACTCCATCCTTTCATTTTGTTTTAGCCAACCTCTCCTGTTTGTTTTCCCACTAAGCTGTCTGGAAAGGTTGTGATCTATGACAGCATTTTTTTGGATTTTTTTTATAATGACTAATCAATGTAATTTAGAGGAAGGGCATTATCCTCCATCTTTGAAGAATCATATTATATTTCTTAAAGTTTAAAAACATAGCCCTTTTATTATTTTTTTTTTGTTTTGCAGCGAATATTCAAGAAGAAAAAGAAGAGCTTTTAAGCAATCTGTGGAGAAAGGTAAAATCGTATTTCCTTAAAATTGCTTTAAATTATCTTGAATTTTTTCTAAATTATTACTTTGTACTTTGGATTATTTTCAGTTTGTGACGCAATTATTAAGGAGCAAGAGGAAGATGAACACCTTCAGCACTTGGAAGAAAGATTTCTTCAAAAGAGAAAAAACTCACCTGACCTCAGGTACAATTCATTGCCATAAATTTTGTTCATCAGTTATTTGTCTTGGGGAAAAAAATTGGTGTGTTTGAGTGATATTGATTTTATCTTTTCAGGAATATTATAGATGATGATGATGATGGAGAACAGGGAAGTATTAATAACAGTCAAGATGGATCTAGTGATAGTGAGTTCTCCTTAGGAGATGAACCACTTATGGAGGTGCATGTAAGTGGTTAAATTGTTATCATTGTTAAGAGTAAATAACAATCAAGGTAACTGATGGTGAATAGTGTTTATCAATGATTTGTTTTGTGGAATTTGTAAATATTACTTAATGCAAAATATTTTGTTCAGTGTCACAAATGCAAATTCTCTTACTTTGTTGTGTAGGGTTACATTCTATTACATTTATTTTACAACTTTGGTAAAATAAATTTCATTCAAACTGCAGATGAAAGTTAATACGGTAAATGGTTTGATGAAAGTTAAGCAAAGAAATTACCCTAACTTGCATTTTCAGGCTTTTCAACTGTAATTACTTGATTCTACAACATTCTTAGGCAAGACACTTACCTGTAAGAGCGTCTTCTTGTTAGCCAGCGAAATAAATGATTGTGAGCAAACTTTCAAAGAAACTGAAAAGATCAGGGAGGTGGGGTGATTTTCTGCAATGAAATGGTCAAGGGAAAGGAGCGATGCCTGTGGTCTCTCAATTCTATGGAAAATGTTACCTCTGGTGGTATGGGCTGTTCAACTTGTATGCAGACACGAGTATCGAGCAGTATTTTGAAAATGTCCTCTACAGGATACAAACATGATGAATCAATCCATGCAATCAATGTACAAAGCCACAAGTTCAGGTCAAAACTCTGAGGATGAAGGAGAGCATGATCAGATAACAGACCTTTTCAAAGCAAATGAAATGATGCAAGGTAAATTCTGTACATGCCACCGCCAGATAACAAAATTTTCAGCAGGTTTCAAGTCAAATTAGTTGGGTAGTGTTTATATTCTAGGT